GGCTGTGACTCACGGAGCAGGAGTTGTTGCCCTGGAAAGTGGGACTGCTGAGCTGCGCCACGCCGCCAGCCCCCACAGATGAGGCGCTGCCCACGTGGAGGAAAAAACCTGCAGGAGAGGCCGGGAAGGGGCTGAGGGGGCCGGGCTGGGTGTGCAGGTGCCAGATGCTCTTTTCCTGGCACAGCGTTGAGCTGAGCCCGGGTACGCGCCACCTCAGGGGCCAGAGGGCACGTCCACCCCGGGGCCAGTGAGCTGCGCCACGCCGCCAGCCCCCACAGATGAGGCGCTGCCCACGTGGAGGAAAAAACCTGCAGGAGAGGCCGGGAAGGGGCTGAGGGGGCCGGGCTGGGTGTGCAGGTGCCAGATGCTCTTTTCCTGGCACAGCGTTGAGCTGAGCCCGGGTACGCGCCACCTCAGGGGCCAGAGGGCACGTCCACCCCGGGGCCAGTGATGTCCCGGGGACCTGCGGTGGGGCTCCCCTGACGTGCTGGTGCCCAGCCCCGTACCTGCCCTGCTGTTACTGCTGTGGTCCCGGGTGGGGATGCCGTATGTGGTCCCCAGGTTCAGGCTCGTGTTTCTCTCCCACGCCGGCTGCCGGTCCTCCACCTCCCAGCCACAGAGATTGTGCTCAAAGGGGCAGAAGGTGAAGGACTCTGGGGAAGGAGGGAGAGCAGAGTGACCCAGGGAGGTTCCTGCAATGGGCTGGGCTGATGCCACCCCTCCACAAAAACTCTTGGGGTGAATTTGCCCCTCTGGCTGCACAGCTAGGGGGGCAGAGCTGGGGTGACCCCTGTCAGCCCCACGGCCCAGCTTTGCCCCACCAGGGCAGACAGTCAACCCATCCGTGAGGTTGGAGGGCTGGTGGGTAGAACCACGGGATGCTCACTGCACCGCGTTTCATCCTCATCCGAGCCGTCCCCACAGTCGTCGGTGCCATCGCAGAAGCGGTGCTGTGCCAGGCAGGAGCCCTGGCCACAGGGTCTCTCCTCCGCCCCGCAGACCTGCTGCCCAGGCTCTGGAGTGGTGGGACATGCCGTCAGTGAATGTCTGGTCCTGCAGGGCCCCCAGCACATGCTGGGCTCCCCCCACATCCTCCCCTGGGGTTGCTCAAGGGACAGGCTTTTGCTGCCTGCCCCATGCCCTGGCTGAGACACCACGGGCAGCAGGAGAGCTCCCCCGGGGTGCGAAGCCCAAACCAATTCCCCCCGGGGATCCCGGCTCACATCTCATCCCAACAGATGCAGGACTCACCCTGCAAGCCGCAGTTCCTGAAGATGATGTCATCAAGCGCCAGCTCTGCCCCGCACGTGGGCGGTTGCGTCAGGGAGAAGATGAGCTGCCGATGAGAGGACGGGGTCAGATGAGCTGAGCATCTGCCTGAGCTGCCCGGGCATCCTTGGCTCCCGGGGCATCACCCGGCTCCTCTGGTCCCAGCTCGTGGGGACAGTGTCCAGGTACCGACTGCCCTGTCTCACCTGGAACTGCTCCTTGATCCGGCCCGAGTAGGTGACCAGTTGGTGCCAACCTTCGCCTCCATGCTTGGGGCTCTGCCACAGCTCCACCACCTCATCGCCGTACGCCATGGCCAGGCGCAGCACCGGCCGCTCGGTCTGGTTGAGCCCTGCGGGGAGCCCCAGACTGTGGCCCTTGGCACTGCGCACCCCGAGGCACCCGTGGGGAGGAACTGAGCCCCACCAGCTCTGGGGACCGGAGCCGGGACCCCTGGGTCCCTCCAGCTCTGCTTGTGGAGTATGGAAGAGGTGAGAAGGGTGGCAGGCACCCATCCCAAGGTGCCGGTGGCTCTGCCTGTGCCATGGGGGCAGATGGCCCTGTCCCTCCCCCCTGACTCCCATCATCGCTTCCCTGTGCCCGGTACCCCAAGGCCCATCCGTGCCCACCATGGGCGCTCTCACCGCTTCCCGAGAGGTGGTACCAGGCCCTGATCTCGCACGTGGCGGCTGCTTCCCGCATCACCGGTGACATGAGCCAGGCCGTGGCCATGGTCTTTGCCGGGGGGTACACGGTCACCATGAACCACCCTGGGGAGAGAGCAGAGAGCAAGGGCTGCAGCCCCCTGGAATAGCACCACTCCTGCCCCACCATGGGTCTGCTCCATCCCCTGCGCCCTACAAGGTTGGCTGTCCTGGCACTTGGCTTCAGGGCACCCACGAGCCACAAGCGTGGTGCTGTGGGTGCCCAGAGCCCACTCACCAGCCGAGCAGCTCCCGCTTACCCCGGTCGGTGCCCACGGTGTGGTCTGAGTGGGGCCCTGTGCCCCACACGGCCAGGCTGGCCCGGCCTCGCACCCATCTGTACGCCGAGGTGCTCACGTCCCGCCAGCCACAGTCGCCTTCCTCGAAATCACAGGTGAAAGGGGTGCCCAGCACCGCCGAGCCCCGCACGTACCCTGTGGG